CCTAACCATTGAAAACATGGATGAAATAAGAAAAATGTAATATGAAAAATACATATAAAACATGCAGAGTTCTTTTTAAATTTGAAATTTTGGAGAATAAATGGCAATACACTGCAATATACTGCCTTGCTTACAGTATGGCAACATTTGGCRATATATCGTATCGTGACCAATATATGTATCATCCAACCAAATACTTGCCAATTCCTTCATTTGTCTTGTCAGAYGCAGTCTGAATCCTGTTTTTAAGTTGTTTTAATGAGGAATTTTTGATATGAATTGAAAGAGGAAGCCAAACTCAARCAATACTTGGATTAAGATTTCACAGCTGGAAATAAACAAGAGCTTTGTCAGCTCACAGAGAAAACTTATAGAGTTAAGGCACTTTTGCTCAAAATCATGTTTTTTGTAGCTACTGCTCAAAAAAGCATTTCCAAAATTTTTTTAAGGTTATCTTTCAGACAGCTCTTTCAAATGATACATTGATAAGGTATTTATTCATTATATTTTGACAAAATGCTAATATTGCAAACGTTTTACTGAAAACACCATATCTGCCTATTTCTCTACATACTGCTTTGGGACCTAATCCTCAGTTTGATGTGATGGGTCACGTGTTCTTTAGTACATAATTTCAATTTTACTGTTATACGTTTTTTTTATTTTATTTCACAATTTGCAATGAGTACCTTTTATTTTAATACCCTTATTTAAAATCAGTTTTTTCRTACATTTGGAAAGCAGATTTTAATTCCAGCTGACAATACATTTTTTCGGTTTATCTCTAATTTTTTGTAACACATCATCTTTGGGGTTCACACACACCTCCAGTACAGACTTGTCATCTGAACTATGTATCTGCATGTTGGGGGTTCCCTCTGAGATGGTGAAGCGCTCTCTCCTCCACAGCATGGTGGCGGCTGGGTTGGACTTCACACCACAGCTTATGTTCACCGGATTCCCCTCCCAGGAGTAAAAAACAGTTTGGTTCGTCAAGAATTTGGGGATATCTGCACACAACAAAGTGATATTTGCTTTTTTTTACAATTGACAAGGAAAAGAAGCAGTTTGAATTGACATTTATTTAAAGTTATCTTGGGCTGCAGATGGAAATATGAATAAAGGATGTGAACAGGAGCTGATTTTCCCCAGCAAACAGAAACAACGATAATGAGTGATCGCAGCGATGAGTTGTTGTTTCGGACGCTTCCCGGCCCAGTCAGCTCGACTCAGTCGGAGAGGCATTATGGTTGTTTTATGTTCACTTGCAGGGTTCCATTAAAGAGATTGATGCCTGGCCCTCTGTCACAGCTGAGGACGTGCTATCCCCTCGCWGCCTGCAGTGACTTAGTAAATGAGTTCATTAGTTTGGCTCATTCCTGCCACACTCAGACTCACAGCCTGTTCCTCTCTGCAGAATCGGGGCGCAGGGCGAGAGCAAGCTGTCAGCCGAGGCTCCACAAAAAACAAGTTTACGGTGCAAAGACAGCAACTTTACCTCATGTTGGGAGACGAGGCGCAGCATCAACCTTTTTCTTTTGAGATAACTAGTGGGCGTGGTTCTGCTAATCAGCAACTAATAGCTGACTCAATATTTCATTTAGCGGATTAGCTTTTTCACAAACTTTAAACGGTAAACGTTAAAACAGGTTTGCGTCAGTCCCACCGGTCTTTGGTTCGAAGGAGACGAAGACGTGTGACACAGACTGAGTGATTGTCGTCTTAAAATATTTTTTCCCCGTGTTTAGTGGTTTAGCTTTGGCAAAGTTGTATTTTTAGTTAACACATTATGAGTAAGCGAAGGTAAACTTTTTGGTTATCTTTGGCCAACACTGGTGATTACTGTGCAAAATGAGTTTTGAAGGAAATCAGTGGTGGGCACAGTTCCCCTAAAGCACTACTAGGGGAACTCGTTTCCTGGTTAGTGCTTTAGGGTTTATGCTAATTTTAAAATGTATTAGTGGATTAGCACTTGCTAAATTTAAAGGCTAAATTTAGAAGCACTAACTGAGGTCCATAAATGTGATTGATCAACGTTAATGTTAACAGCTGAGGGTAAAAGCTGTCGCATATTTTGTTCATATGTGTGTCACTTATCYACCAGGTGACAATATATGAACTGAAATCCAGCTGTGGAATGTCAATGATAAGTCTTAAGAGAGCAACATGACAACATGTGACTCATGTTTTCTGTTGAAGAATGTTCATGTGTTGACTGGGTTATTTTAGGGCTTTAGAATTAGCTTTGGCTAAAACTTTCAGTGCATTAGAGTTAGTGTTTTAGGGCTATTGGAACTAATTTTTAGATTAGTGCTGCCAACCACTGAAGGAAATCTTTGAAGGTAGAGAATAACATTCCTTTATTAACTGCTTTCTTCTCTTCATCAAATTCAATGTCTCTCTGTTGGTTCTCTAAACTTCAACGTGGACTCGCTCTTGTGAAAACCTGCACTTTGCTCTGATGTAGTTAGAGCAACAGAGCCGCTCTCGTAATGAACCCAATCATTCCAAGGCCAAAATGAAGATCTTGACTTCGGAGCTCATTAGGCAGGGGAGAGCGTGCCCCAAATAACCCCAAACAAGCAGCGCTGAGGGATGGGCGCGCTTATCGGGAAGTGGCGAAGCTGTCACTGGGAAAAAAAAACGAAAGGCAATGCATGGTTTCCTTTCGCTAATTAACCCTTCTGGAGACTGTGTGGAAAAATAGTCCATGGGTGCTGGGATAAAATGTGAAGAAAAATGTGAAATTCTGCAAAAAGAAATACACACACACACACACATAGATATATGTGTGTGAACTTTTGAACTTTGTAAGAATATAMGTTTCTTTTCAGGTTGCTTAATATGAACAATTTTCTCATCCAAACAGAGCATGCAGAGGTTATTAGGATAATGACTTCAACAGTGCTCCTTAAGCAAAGAATATTACTAAACTTGTTACCCAGTAATCTATAGGCACTTTAAGGTTTATTGACGAACTGCTGAAAAAGAGGCTGAGACATCAGGGGAGCAAAGAACATAGAAATTATACAGAACACAAAAAAGTAAATAAATAATCAATGAAAAACACAAAAATCCCTTAAAGTGTCACACATGAGCGGAAACAATAAATGATTGCCTCACAGAGAACAGAAAAGGCAAAGAAAAAAATACAATAACTAAACATAATTTTACACACAAAACAAATTAATAAAATGTGCAAAAAATAATTAAAAATATGAAAATTAAATTAAATCAAGAACCTAAAATTTCTTCAAAGAGTGCATATAAACAAATTAATTTTAACCCAGACTTTTAGACTAAATATTTTGTCTTTAAAAATGACGAGGTTTTAGCTTTTATGGTCAAATCTAAAAAATAAACACACACACACACACACACACACACACACACACACACACACAC